AAGGTTTTCGAATGTTCTCGTATGTACGAGTCCATTCTAGTGGGTCTCGATTCTTCTCGAACGAATGAATCATTGCGGTGTCTATGCGATGTTAAGGTCATCCGAGGGCGGGCCATATTGTGAGGTTAGGTCGAGTCCACACCGGCTCGCAACAGTCTCAATAACTGCACTAGTAAATAAACTAAAATACTTAAATATTATAAAAAAAACACGATTTGAATATTATTTTAATGCGATCAACATGACGGCGACGTGAAGTACATAATGATAATTTCTGATTTCTGCCGTAGAGTGCGCTGCGGTTGGAATTTGTTGAAATCAACTGAAATGCACCAAGCCTATAGTCCAATGATGGTAAATCCTAGTGTGCAAGATTATTAACTGACACGATTGCTACTATTTGCTACGATTTGCAAAAAAAAAGAAAGAAAACTAAAGAAACAATTTAAGCGGGTTTATTTAGATTTTCTAATTTGTGTGGATAATATATATTCTATTTGCAGTTTAGATGCCATCTATAACCATATAGTTTGATTATTACAGTTTTAAAGTTACGCAAATAATGACAAACACGTTTGTAGTATTTGAAATAAACCAAAAGTGTTTAGAAAATATCAAATAAAGTTTATAATTTTACTCACATTTTCTTTGTTGGAAAAAAAATCGACGAATCAGACCCATTTCTATCAGTTAAGCGAATTGAATTGATGGAAACGTTTACTTTTAAAAATACTCAGTTAATTTTCTCAAGAGCTAGTACAAAAAAACTATGAACAAAATTTGATCCACGTCTCAAGAGATATTCTCTTTTATCCAAGAAGAGAATATTCCGCAATTAAATTGATGTGTTATGTTAATTAAAAAAATGATCTTTTTGCGTTGGTCTAGATTTTAAAACGTTAACAATTACACTGTGTCTAGGTGCAAGTTAACGTGTACTAAATATAAAACTTCCGTCCACGCAAAATACGTGGTACACGGTAACGTGCACTTAGACACAGCGTAACAGTTAAACAGGCATATAACCATAACTTATGATTATATGATTCGCATTTTCTATCTATCTGGTACTTATTTTAGGGAACCAAAGCAATATATGAAACCGAAAGGGTAAAATTTGAAGAAAATAAGAGTGTTTTAAGATTTCTTTCTACCGAAGTGACAGACGAGAACCAGTACACATGCAAAATATCCAACGATTTGGGTGTAGACTCCAGAGTAGGAATGCTTGTGTTTGAGAGTAAGTTATTTCGGTTTTACGAAAAGTATAAACTATTTCTAAACGTCGTTTACTTTTCAGTGAAACCTACATCACTTACCGCTTATTATTACATCATCGGAATAGTCCTAGTTTGCCTCCTCATCGCTATTATTTACATCATTTTCAGGATAAAGAAAGATAAGGTAAACTCTATAAACAAATATGTATTCTATACGATTTTCTAATAAATTGTGACAATTTTGCAGGAACTAAAAAGGAAACTGAAGAGCTTAGGTTTGGAGAACTTCCACAAAGGCAATCCTGAACAACTTAATCCTGAAATTGGTATTGGAGATCAAGCAGAACTGTTGCCCTACGACAAAAAATGGGAAGTGTCATTTGATCAATTAAAATTGGGTAAGTTTTTAATGAGTGTTATTGTAATTTTAACCCTATGGCTGATTCTTAAATTTTTCAGTTCTACAATTTTAAACTACTCTTGAAATATAAAATTCTACATTGCCTTATAATTCTATATTGCCTTATGGTTAAAACTATTTACAGTTTTATTAGACTACAAATTTAATATAATCAGATGTATTAAGAGTGTATTCCAGAGGTGTATTCCGTTGCTTACCTTGGTTATGGTTTATGTTCAGTTTCTATCGGTTTCCTGAAAGTTTTCTTATTACGGAACACGGTTCCCATACGGTTCCTGAAAAATATCGGTCATAACTGTCACCAAATTAACCAGCGCGAGAAGGCTGGTTTTTCTGGTTTTGTTTGTCAATCAATGTCAATGTGTGTATATATCAATGTCATTTATGTGACAAAAATCAAGCAAACATTGGAAGCTCGAGTGAAATTCTCATTTAATTTCTAAAATTTGTAATAATATTTTGTATTTATATCCAAAAGCAATGGAGGTAGGCAGTAAAGGTAAATAAATTTCATTAACTAAATAGAATGACTTTTTAGGACCATTTAAACTTATCATGCAGCCATTGTTTCTTAAAGTCAGGAACATTTAAAGAAAACATGAAAAACAAGACAATAAGTAATTGTGAATGTTTTGTAAGCTATAAAAATATAAATATTGATTAGATTTGTTTATTTATTATTGATCTATTTTAATATTGGACCTGCAAATCTTCATTTGAGCTGTCTAACGAGTTTAACAGTTCATTAATAAAGTACTTTTCAATATTAAACTCCATTGAAAAGAAGAAGCAAATGTAAAAGTAGAGAATAGGTACATTAAATATGCATAAAAGATAAATTTTATAACAGAGGCAGAGATAGAGGTATTGAAATTTAGAAAACATCAACATTTCCAATATTTTACCCCATGATTTTACCAAACCATTCCATAGCAAACCGATGTCTTTCAGGAACCGCTCTTTGCTGTAGTTTTACCGGTCTGGTTCGCCTGGTTTTGCAACAGAATACAGAAGTTTTAAAATCTATTTAATGTTCAATAATTGACATTTTTCAAGAGTAGTTTTTAGATTGAGAACGTTGGAAAGAGTTTGAGCACAATTTTAATTTGAATATTGAATTATTTTGGAAACCTTTTTTTAATATACAGGGTTGTGTATAAGATCCTTCCGTCGAAATGGGCTTAATCAGAAATATTCACTTTTCAAATGACTGGCGAAAAAACTGCACACGCACGTAGAATACTCCTAAATATTATCTAATAATAATTTTGCTGCTTTTTTATATGTTCAATTACTTATCTAGAGAGACTTTAAGCATATAATTAAAATATTTTTTAAACAAATTTTCAATTTTTTGTTTTTTTTTTCTAGAAGGTTTTATAGCCAATACTAGCTTATTATATCTGCATATTTTGAGGAGTTTTATATCATTAAAACAGAGTTTTCTGTATAATGAGCATAACTTAAAGTTTCTCTAATATTTGCTATAAAGCTTTTAATATTTTTGTTGTTAATTATTCAACTAATAGATATATTTTCAATTGAATTAAACCTATATTATAAATATTTAATTATTAACAACATAGTTAAATAAAAATTTCTTTTTTAAATTAAGTTAGTTTTATTTTCAAAGATTTGTGAGACTAAATTTAACAGTCCTGTTTGCATTTTTGCACCATTTCTTTGAAGGCAAAAATATAATCAAAGGTTTTAATTGTGTTTTACTAAAAAAAGAATTTATATAAATACAGGGTGCTACAAATTTGAGGTACGAGCATTTGTAGCACCCTGTTGTTAAATTGGGGCAAAGTTGCGCTTTGGGATGTTCACCAAGATTTCATCAAAAAAGTTTTAAAAATTTCAAGGATTGCTGAGTTTTTTGGAAAAGACGGATTTTTTTGAAAATAGATTTTATTTTTTTCTGTCGTTACTTTTTTAAAAATCAAATAACTAATTGCACATTTTCATAGCCACTTTATCAGGGATATCTGATGGTATTTTTAGATTTTCAAATTAGCTGATGATTTGTGAGATACAGAGGCCAACTTATTTTTTTTAAATACGGACCTGCATTTTTTATTTGAAGTTTTGAAAGAACTCGGTCTCCTGAGTACAATGATATGCCACACTTAATACTTTTTTTGTTTTGGGTACCTTAACGACAACAAAACTATTTAACTTATTATTTAAAATAATTTCAAGTTCGACTCTGGTTTTTTAAAGTATTTAATCTGATTATATTCACCGCAACAATATTGATCAGCGCTAATTAACATTGAATAAGAACAAATCGAGCCAATTGGAAGATTCAAATAAATAATATCCAGGTCAGCAATTTAAAGATATTATTTTTACCTTTTTTATTGTGAATTTGAAATATCAGTGTGCGATCTAATAATATGCATAATATGAAACGTAGTTATTGTAAATAAATCAACTTCTATAAACTCGTTTCTAATGCTCTACATGTTCGAAAGGGTTGCCACCCTCCCTATTGCACAAATTTATTTTTCATTCAATTTTATTTATGGCTCTTCTCTTTGAACTTTCTTCTTATACTTCCGAATGCATTTTGTACTCTTTATTGTAATTGTTTAGATGTATTGTATTTCACTTTTACAAATGACGTCAAGTAATGTCCCCCTGCTATTTGGCGATAGATGGAGGAACCTCGCTGGCCATTATACTGCTCTACCATTTCCAACCCATCTTCCGGGGAATAATTTGACTGTTTATATTCTATTATATTTATTTATATTATTTATTTTATATTATTTTTTATTATTTTATTGCATTGACTCGTTGTTAATGTTTGTGTGTTCGAAAGCTTATCAATATTGTAACGATGAATAGATTAAATATTTAAAAAAACATAGCCGAACTTGAAATTAGTTTAAATAAATTGTGTGACTTTAACCCCTTGTTTCTACGAAACAAAGCAGAATCAGATCTATTTTAACATAAAAATAAATTTTATTTTTACGTAAGGGAATCTCGAGCACATGTTTTTTAAAACACCCTGCAAATTTATTACAAAACTAACCGCCTTGTTTTAAGGTAAACAATTAGGGTCAGGGGCTTTCGGTGTAGTCGTGAAAGCCGAAGCGAAAAAATTAATACCGGGAGAAGAAAAGTCAATCGTAGCCGTGAAAATGGTGAAGAAAAATGCCGACGAAACGTACATCCGAGCTCTGGCTTCGGAATTGAAGATAATGGTCCACTTGGGGAAGCACGTCAATGTGGTCAATTTACTGGGGGCGTGTACAAAGAACGTTGCAAATAGTAAGTTTGTATATTTTATTCTGTAACAGCAGTATTGCAAAAAGTATTGATTTTTTACTAATTTTGATATATTATGTATATTATTGTATAATTGTAGCATAAATAATAATACTTTGTGGGAAGTATTTGATACTGACACAAGAATCTGTATTTTATTATTACTATTCGTATAAATAGAGGTATAGATGGCCCTCGTAGTTCGTTTTTGTGAGTAACCTTTGTTGCCACTACAGAATTTTATTCAGCGCCATTTTATTTCTAAGGCGAAAGTGAAAACATCTTTTTGTTACATTTTGGCGCCCAACGTGGGGCAATAAAAATATTTTTCACACTGTATTTCTTTAAATAACCAGTCTTCCGAATCTGTCTGTTACAATATATATATTTATACATACATTGTTTACGTCTATACATTAATTTGATTATTAATTAACATTGAGATGTGATTAAATAATAATTATTAAAAACACTAATGGACTTATATTTTTTAGAGGAACTACTTGTAATTGTCGAGTTCTGCCGATACGGAAATTTGCAAAACTATCTCTTCAAACACCGCGAATCCTTCATCAACCAAGTCGATCATACCACTGGAAAGGTTGATTACAACATAGGTTCCCATGTTTTGGACAGAATGTACTCGATATCTAGCGATAATGGGTAAGTGTACATCTAGCTAACCATTTTATGTACAAAGTTTGAATGTTTTGCTTTGGAAAAATTTATTGAAATTTTATATTATACGGGGTGGTCCGAAAGGTATTCCGGAAACTTCGGCAGCATATTCTGCAGATAAAAATAAGTAAAAAAGTTCGTATGGCGTATATACTAAAAAGCTTAGTTTCGGAGATACTGGGTATAGAAGTTTCATTTTTATTTCGATTTTTTCCAAATAATTTATGAAGTAACGTAAATATTTGGATGAAACTTGGTGTCTGGGAGTGTTTTGACACAAGAAATTTGATTTTGATGTCAATATGGCTCCTATTTATAGAGGGCGCCACCTACATATTTTTTAACTGGTTTTAAGTGTAATAACGTTTAGATTGTACCTGTTTAAAAGTACTGAGTAAGAAAATATATATTTTTTACGTAAAAAAGGTCTCGAAAAAAATCGAATCGCTACGAGTAATGCTTCTCGAGATATTTGGAATCAAAATTATCAATAACTAGCATCAATGACATAAATTAATCATGTCGATTAAATAGTTATTAGACTGAAATCTTAAACTTGAAATGTTTTTGTGTCAAAAGTTCCACAGAAACTATTTTATCATCATTTCTTCGCAGAAAAATTTATGATTAATTTAAAAAAAATAAAAATTTGCCGAATTTATTATTTCAATCAAATAACTACTCTACTCAACGAGTTTATTTTTTGTCAATAATGACATGTATTGACTATTTCCATTTAAAATATCTTGAGAACGGTTGCTCGTAGCGAATTTTACCGAGAGACATTTTTTACGTAAAAAGTCACGGAAGTGTATATTTTTTCACTCAGTACTTTTATACAGGTACGGATAAAAAGTTATTACTCTTCATAACAGTTAAAACACATGTAGGTGGCGCTCCCTACAAACAGGAGTCATATTGACTTGAAAATCAAATTTCTCATGTCAAAAAACTCCCAGACACCAATATTCATCCAAATATTGACGTTACTTCAGAAATTACTTGGAAAAAATCGAAATGAAAATGAAACTTCTACACCCTGTATCTCCGAAACTAAGCATTTGTATCTCCGAAACTAAGCATTTTAGGACATACGTTTATACGAACTTTTTTACTTATTTTTATCTGCAGAATATGCTGCCGAAATTTCCGGAATACAGTTCGGACCACCCTGTATATTTCTCTTCTAAATATTTTCTGGTTTAAACAAACAGCAACTTAACAAAGGCCTCCTCAATATTAATAACATTTAAAAATAAAAATACTGCTCTTGCACACAGTTGCTTTATTTATTTCAGAAGCACAATAACTACTCCATATTCTATGCAAGACTACAGAGAGAAAGAAAGAAATGGAGCACTGAACTCAGCAACTACGCAAGTGACATCTTTAGGTAAAATTATAACATATGTATATTAAATTGGTTTTAATTTTAATAAGTGTATTTTAATAATGTTTTCTATCTAAAGTAGATAGATGGTATTATTCTATTTGGTACAGACAAATAATTCTTCTGGCTTTATTACGTCTTTTTAGGAGAGGACCAAGTAACTTTGAGCAACAACAGTATCCAACCGGAATGGAGAACCAACTACAGAGGAGATTACAGGGGCAACGTAAAGCCAGTCTGCACCAAAGACTTGCTGACTTGGTCGTTCCAGATAGCGCGTGGTATGGAGTACTTGGCTTCCAGGAAAGTGATGCACGGCGACTTGGCAGCCAGAAACATTTTGCTAGCGGACAACAACATTGTGAAAATATGCGACTTTGGCTTGGCCAAGACAATGTACAAAGACAATAATTACAAGAAGAAAGGAAATGTAAGAAAACATATAGGAAAATAAACATAAGTTGGCGTGCACGTCACAAAATATTTGACGGATGCACGTTGCAATGTTGCCACGGCTGCTTTTTTTACTTTGACTTTTAAAAAGTGTCAAATAAAATTCGCAATTTTGTCACCCATTTTTCACTTAATTTTAAACACAATATACAGGGTGGCGCACCTCTCATTCGCCTCGGTTGATTATACGAAAACGGAAAGATGCAGAAACAAAATATTTTATGGTATATGTGGGGAGGCAATGTGGGCACAATTTAAAATTATTTTGAAATATGCAGGGTATTTCAGAACTAAGATCATACCAAAGTTATATTTTCTTAGCAGGCACCCGGTATTATTATATCATTTTGGATTCTTGGACACAAAAGGCATTTATTATAAGGGTTAAATATGTTTTAAAATCTTTGGTTTTGAGATATTTAAAAGATATTTAAATATGCGCTACAATAGAATAGGTTACCAATACCCTGTACGTTACTCTTCAGAATTAATTATTGTGCTGAGTTTAAAGATAGAGAAATAAACTTTACTGAATATTTTATTGCTTCCTTAAATTTATACCGGAGTACCACTTACTGATCTATTTTAAATATTTATTATACATAAAAACTTTAATGTAATACCCTATATTTCTTGACATAAATCGAAACAAATTCATTGCTCTTTCAAACTATATTAGGATTTTTTTTTTTTTTTTTTTTTTTTTTTTTTTGAATAATAAATAATAAAAAGCTATTTTTCAATAAAATATGGCAAAAAATATATCTATATATAAAATAATCTTCTAAAGATTTGAACTTCTAAAAATATTTTTTTTTATCTACCAAAAAAGTATTGCAAGCTTAATAGGCAAAATTTTTAAAACAACGAAGAAAAGCTGTTTTATATTTTAGAAAGCTTGACTTGGAATGTTGAACAGCCTTCAAATGGACAGGATACAGCAAGAACGGACAACAGATGGACCACAAAGATTACAGCATGGTATCCACGAGGAATTAAGAGACCTAGAAGAAGACCAAACCTGAGATGAGACCATGATATTAGGAAATTAGCAGGGATAACTTGGGCCCGCATGGCCAACAATAATCAACAATGTGCCCAACTACAAAGAGAGTATGTAAGGGAGGCTACACCATAATTGGAAACGGTTGAATAAGCTGAAAATGATGATGATGATATTCTTCATTTCATAGCCAACGTTGACGTCGTTTTTTTTTCGATCATACGGTAGTTGTTAACTTAATAGTCCGTCCGTAGAGTAGTAAATTTCGGTAATAAAACGAAAATCGAAAAAATACGAATCTTTTGTTGCGCGTATTTGGAGTTTGGACAATAAAACGAGAGGTTTTCCAAAGCCGTAAAGAGAGCTCGCATGTTCTTTAAACCGGAGACGTGACGTCAAAGTTTTTACAGCATCTTGAACGATCCCTTGCCGACCTAATGCGGCTTTTTCCGGGGACCGGAATTAACATAAAAGTTGCGGCGTAATCTTGGCCGCGAATTAAAAAAGTTTTTCGGTTAAGTCGGACCACTTTTTACGTTCGTTTTGATAGTTTGACATTTGCTATGACAGCCTTTTATATATTCGCTTTGTCGGTTTTTCATTTATTTTCTTTTTACAAGGAACTCTAAATCATAATTTTTAGGATTATGGCAAGAGCCTGTAATGTTTCATTTCTTAACAAGAAAATAAACGAAAAGTTTTGAAAAAATATCTATTTTATTTCATTAATAATGTTATATGGTATATACAGTATGTTCCCGGATTGTCTATACAATCAAGAGAAAATTTTTTATTATTGACATTTTCAAAAAAATACATTTTTCATAAAAATGTTTGCTTGTTCTAAAATGGTTAATCCCGTTTATACTTTTTCAAATTTCTATACCATTTTAGAGAAAATTAAAAAAAAACATAAAAATATGGTTTTAAGTTCTAAAATCAAAAGGCTTTGATTCATGCTTTGATAGATTTTTATTGTTAGAGTTTTAATTAACGTCATAGTTTTTTCTGCTTTAAAATGTCAATAAAGTACAAAATTTATTTACTTCAATGCTACGGAAAGGGTGATAATAGTTATCGGGAAATGTGATACTTTAATAACACCAAAAAAGATGACGTTAATCAAAATTATTAATAACCATCTATCAAAGAATGAAATCGAAATTATATTACCATAAAATCGCCTTTTGATTTTTACGACTTTTATACTCTTTAGAATAAATTCAATCATGTTTTTATCTAAATTTCCTCTAAAACGGTATAGAAATTTGGAAAATTATAAACGGGTTTAACCATTTTAGAACAAGCAAACATTTTTTGAAGAATGTATTTTTCTCAAAATGTCAATAACAAAAAAGTTTTTCATCTTGTAAACACAATCTGGGGATATATTGTATATAAATAAGAATATTATAAAATTATATATTATAAAAATTGAAATAATGAGGGGAAATATACAAAAAAAACGAAAAATTAATCTCTTAAGTTATTTGACTAAGTTAAATAACTGTAGTATAGAATTTTTAAAAGGAAAGTCCTATATTCTTTTCAATTTTTCTCTTGAATTAGAACAAAATTTGGCAGGAACCCTCGATCTGACAAACCAAACACAGGAAATCGTAATTAAATAGCAAAGGAACTACTAAAAGGACGAGATCTAGACGATCTTGCCAACCAATCTGGCGGCACATCGTACGAATTTTACCAACAAATGGCACGAATTAGTAGTACCTTTGGTACTCAAATGCGATTTCTGCGTTAGGTTTGTCAGATCAGGAATCTAACAAAGTCTGTCTGATGATTCGGAATAAATTCCCAAAACCGGCCGTCGAATGGTCGAAATATTTTCGGTCAGATGAACTTAATGCAGAAATTAGCATACTTGTAGTGGCTAAGATCTTTTTACTCTTCTCTGAATACTATTTATTCTATATAGAACCCTATTTACTTTTAGCTCCATCTACAGATGAAAGAAGTTTGTAACTTATTTCAGTTAATTCAGTGCTTTGTGGCATTATAGGTTATGGGAAAAAGCTAGTATTTTGCGACTAAAACAGAATTCAAAAAAATAAAAAGATAAAGACAAAAAAAATAAAACAAAAAAAAAGATATAAAAATTATATGAAAATAAAAAGTGATTTTTGTAAAAAAATACAGACAATCCATTTTGCAAAAAAATTGTCTGGTTCTGTGTTAAAATATACTGGATATTATTTCAGTCCTTTGTAGTCACTGAAACAGTCACACAACATTCTAAAAAATAAAAAATAACAAAAAATAAAAAGGATAAAAAAATAAATAAAACAATAAAAAAATAAAATAAAAAATATATATATTTTTGTAAAATACTACAGACAAGCTATTTTACAAAAAAAATGACTGCTGTTGTGTCAAAACATAATGGCCATTTCCTTTTTACTTCTCTGTATATTATTTTATATTTTATAAAACCCTACTTTACTTTTAGCTCCATCTATAGTCACGTAGACGAAGCAAGCTTGATTGTAACATATTTCAGATGCATTAAATACTATTGCTATTAAAAACATAATCAATAAAAAAAATGTCTGCTTCTGTGTCAAAACATAATGGCCATTTCCTTGTTACTTCTCTGTATATTATTTTATATTTTATAAAACCCTACTTTACTTTTAGCTCCATCTATAGTCACGTAGATGAAGCAAGCTTGATTGTAACTTATTTCAGTTGCATTAAATACTATTGCTATTAAAAACATAATCAATTTAATAGATATATCTTAAGAGCGTTTATATGTAATAAATAAGCCTCCCCCCCCCTTTAGAGCTCTGTATCGATGGGCCTATAAATCATGCAAATATTCCCTCATTGTTCCCTCCAGGCCGATTTTGCTAACTACTCCGTTAAAATACAGCCTGTCATTAAAGTGTAAACCCGCCGCAAATCATTATCCTCGGTCAGGAGTATTTACCGGATAGCAATCAATTCGAAGGTCTTTTAATAGTTAAGCAATAAGGTCAGAGTTCAGACAAAGCGTGCCAAGAGTGGCAAAGCCTGAATTCTATAAATAAAGGGAATACTAAATGCCAATTCGGCGATATGCATATGCAGTACATAGTTTCAGATAGTAACACGTAATAATACTAAAATAATTCAAGCGATTGAGAACTAAATTAGAAACAGTTTCGTGGTTCATATTCTTATTCTTTGTAGAGTTCGTTATTTTGTTTAGATTTTGTTCTGAATTATTATGTTTAATAAGTATCTTAAAAAGATATTTTAAAAAAAATAAATGATATAGATCGATATTTCATATATTTTTAGAAATTCGAATATAATAATAAATAATTTAATTTTTAGCAGACCATACCAACAGGCATGTGTCTGTCTGTCTGTCTGTCCGTCTGTCTGTAACACGCTAACTCAAAAACCGCTAAACCGATTTTAACCAAATTTGGTTTACGCCCGAGAATTTGGCCATTAGTTTTTGGTAGGGGTGGGGGGTTGGTAAGGGGGTATGGGAGGGGGTTAAAAATTTAAAAAACTCCAAAATTACAGTAGCTAGCGAAACGCGGTTTTCAATTTAAGATTAGGAATAATATTTGCAACAAAATTTGTAATAACTTCAAAATCAGTCAAAGTCGCATTTTTTGAGATAAAAAAAATTGGAAAAATTCCTTTTCTTTGAAACTAAAGGAACTGCCTACCAACTTTTTATTAACATATTTTAGTATGGGCGGATTATCAACCTTTCCACAGCATTAAACTAAATATATTTTGTGCTTCTTTAACATTTTAAAACAGCAAAATATTACATTAATTAAAATTCTATCAATAAAAATCGAAACGAAATTATATTACCATAGAAACGTGTTTTGATTTTTAGGATTTTTTTGGGTCAATCATATTTTCATGTTCTTTTTAGTTTTGTCCTAAACGATATGGAAATTTGGAAAAGTATAAACGAGATTGACCATTTTAGAACAATCAGTTTTTTTGATCAAATATACATTTTTCTTAGAATGTCAATAATA